CGGACTCCGGAGGGGCTCCTTCAGCCCAAGCGCTATATCAAGCCAAATCATGGCATAAATCACTTAGACCCTCGGCATATATCAAACATGCTGCGGCGTGCAACCCGATCCCATAAATATGCAACATGATGCGGCGTGCAGCCCGATCCCATAAATATCCTCACAAATCAGGCTCTCGGCCTCACTCAGTCATAAACCTCACAAGCCACTCGGGCATTTCAGTAAAACAGGGCATTCGGCCCAAAATATTTATATGCATCAAAATAGAATCATAAAACTGAGTTATGTGGTAAACAAGTATAATCATGACTGAATATAGATTTTCAATCGAAAACAGTGAGAGGATAGCAAGAAAAGGCCCCTAAGGGTCCAAACAACACTGACACAAGGCCCAAACATGACATTCAGTCCAATTTACAGAAACTCTTTCTAAAACATATAAGTATCATATAGTTTCAACAAAGTATGCAACTTTACAGTTGCTACGGGACGGTCCAAGTCGCAATCCCCAACAGTGCACGCCCACACACCCGTCATCTAGCATGTGCGTCACTAAAAATAGTAGAATGATACAAAAATCCGGGGTTTCATACCCTCAGGACTGGATTTACAATCGTTACTTACCTCAAAACGGTCAAATCTCTACCCCGCAATGCTCTTGCCTCTGGACTCGGCCCCCAAATACTCCAAAACTATTAAAAATCAGCACAACGCCATCAATACGTGCTAATGGAATGAATTCCACAAGAAAAGCTGCAAAAATTAGACCAAAACCTGAAATTGACTCAAACCTGCCCCCCAGGCTCATGTCTCGAAATCTAACAAAATTTACAAAACTAGAAAGCCCATTCACTCACGAGTCTAAACATACTAAATTCATTAAAATCCGACATCGTTTGATCCTTCAAATCCTTAAATTACTTCTCCAAAAATCCCAAGCCCTAACCCATCATTTTCACTAATTACATGATTAAACAACGAAACAATTACCATATATACGAGTAGTAGGGCTCAAGAAACTTACCTCATTGATAGCCCTTGAATCACCCTTCAAAAATCACTCCAAAAGCTCCAAAAATCGACTTGAAAATGGTGGAAATGAACCAAATTTGCGAAGGGTTCTATTATGGTTTCAGCCCAGGTTTTTCGCACCTGCGAAAAATTTCACGCTTCTGTGCCACCGCACCTGCGGAAAAATCCATCGCAGGTGCGGAAATCACTTAGGAGCCCATATTCCGCATCTGCAACCCAAAACCCCGCGCCTGCGAAGGCGCACCTGCGCGTTTCCTTCGCTTCTGCGAAGCCTGCCTAGTGTCCCCCTTTTCGCATCTGCGCCCCAGGTTTCGCACCTGCGGGCTCACAGATGCGACCTCCAACTCGCACCTACGCATCCTGCCTAGCTCAGCATTTCCCGCTCCTGCGGACTTCCCATGCGCACCAGCGGCCTCACACATGTGACTCTTCCTTCCGCAGGTGCAGAAATAGCAGAAGCATCAGCTTCATCTGCATTTTCCAACCTCGATAAATCCGTTAACCACCCGGAATCACCCCGAGGACCTCAATCAAAAATATCAACAAGTCATATATCAACATATAAACTTAGTCGAATCTTCGAATCACTCAAAACAACATCCAAATACCAAATTACCCTCGGATTCAAGCCTAAGAACTTCTAAATTTCCAAAGTCGGCAACCGATGCCGAAACCAATCAAACCACGTCCGAATGACCTCAAATTTTGCACACACGTCACAAATGACACTACAAACCTACTCCAGCTTCCGAAATTCCGTTCCGACCCCGATATCAAATTTTTCACTGCCGACTAAAATCGCCAAATTTCCAACTTCGCCAATTTAAGCTTAATTCTACCACGAACCTCCAAATTTCATTCCGGATGCACTCCTAATTCCAAAATCACCTAACGGAGCTAACGGAACCATCAGAATTCAAATCCGAGATCGTTCACATATACGTCAACATCCGGTTGACTTTTTCAACTTAAGTTTTTACTTAAGAGACTATGTGTCTCAATTCACTCTGAAATTACTCTGATCCCGAACCAACTAACCCGATATAACATAATATATCTGAATAACATAAAAAGAAGTAGAAATGGGGAAAACGGGATTATAACTCTCGAAACGACCGGCCGGGTCGTTACATAATAACACGATTCTTTAATTTTACAACTTCACAGGATTTATTCAAGTCACAATTTCTATGGTGCACGTCCACATGCTCATCACCCATCGTGTGCGTCTCCTCTAAATAATTTATATCATACCAAATTCGGGGATTCATACCCTTAGAACCAAGTTTAGAAGTGTTACTTACCTCAAACCGTGTAATATTTTACTCCGCTATGCCTTTGCCTCGCGAATTGATCTTCGAAAGCCTCGTATCTAGTCATAATTAATTCGATTCAATCAATACGAATTATAGGAATTAATTTCGTATGAAAATACAAATTTTCCAACAAAATCCGAAATTACACTCAAAAATCACTCGTGGGGCCCACGTCTCGGAACTCGACAAAAGTCACAAAATATGAACGCCCATCTAACCACGAGTCCAACCACACAAATTTTACCAATTTCCGACATCAACTCAACCCTCAAATCCTCAATTAAAGTCTTTGAAGATTTCTACCATTTTCAATCCAATCTTTACCCATTTAAACTCAACAATCTTTCCATAAACCTTATTGGTACGTGTATATATAAATAATACTCTTACACTCAAGAATCATACTCCTAATCACTCATCTTTACCCAAACTCGAAATTGAAGACTAGGGTTAGAAATTCTTACCTCTTTGAAGCCCTAGAAATATCCTTGTGAAATCTTCAAACCTTGAACAGGAATTGATGGACAAATGGCTAGGTCTTCACTTTCTCTCTCTAAGATGCTCTCATCTATCTTTAAAACATCAGATGAAACCCTTCAAAATGACCCCTAATAGTATTTTATAAGAATGGGGTCGGGTTTATAAAACCAGAAAAATGAAGCTCTGAAACACACACTGCGGTCGCATATGCGATCGCATAATGCTTCTGCGGCCTGCAAAATGGGTCGAAAAAAAGCCCTCCGGAACTGGGCAACACTGTTTCAGTTTGCGGCTGTTATGCGGTCCGCAGACCTATTCTGCAATCTCATAATGCACTGCAGAACTGGTATGCGCTCGCATAATGCGCCGTAGACCTTCCTCCAAACTTGCCCCACTTCTGATTCACCCTGCGACTATTATGCGGTCCGTAGAGTGATTCTGCGACCGCATAGTGGGCCGCAAAAATGACCTTTTCCGACAAAAAATTTCCTTTACTCCCTGGCGCATTGTTCAATCCAAAAGGTCCGAGCCATGGCGAGCAAGCGAGCCGCGAAGAATTTCTACAATTCTCAAACACGTAAGCATAGTTCGGCACCACGAAACTTTAATTTTCTTAGCAAAAATTTTTCGAGGTCGTTACACATAAGTCAACATCCGGTCAACCTTTTCAACTTAAGTTCTAACTTCTAAACCTTTGAACTAAGTGTTCCAAATAATTCCAAAACTTCACCGGGCCCGAACCAACTATCCGGGCAAGTCAAATAACAACCGTAAAGTACAATTTGAACAGTAAATGAGAAGACGGGTTGTAATACTCGAAACGACCGGCCGGATCGTTACAGCAGTCTTGTCAACGACCTTTCCTCTTACCACTTATATTAGGCTCCAATTATGGGACGTACAGTATCATAATGAAGTTCTCTCGAAGAAAATCTGCAACTCCCTTTCGAGATGGTAAAGACTATTTTGGTTTGTTGATCCTTTGTATCCAACTTAAACATTGTCTCATAAATAAGTATTCTCTAAACCCACGTTATTTTTCATTCTTTGTCGGTTACCTTTAATTTGCTTCAGCAATAGTTAACATTTTTAGGTACTACCGTTGGACATGATCATGTAGAGATTAAAATCAAAGCGATTAAAATCAATTTATTAGTACCACAAGCTCGCTTTACTTAAAAGAATGAAGATAGAGGTTTAAAATAAAATTGAAGATAGAGATTAAAATCAAAGCGACATATATACTATAAGGTTTAAAAGGATCTTATGTAAGCAATAACTTATTCAGCTTATATGCCGCGTTTTTTTATTTTAAAAATATAAAAGGACTAATGGTATATCTTCAGTTGACAATAGCAACTTACGCCTCATGGTGGTATGTTTGGGCAGTTTGTTTGTGGAAATCCTATTGAAATCTTAGAAATAAAATGGTTAATGTGTTTGTTTATGTGATTGTGTGTATCATTTCAGGAATGCCATTATTAAAAACTCGTTATTCCAGACAAAAACTTCAAGTAACACATTGATTATTGAATTCAATAAATTAAAGTTGTCTTAGAGAAGAAATCCTTTTTTCCCTCTAGTGTAAGAATAGTCCGAATTCGCACAAGAAAATCTTACTTTAGGGGTAAAGAGTGAGGAATTATCATTTTCACGATTTCATTCCAATCAAACCCAATTTCAATAACTTAATTAAAAGCTTTTAAGTTAATTGTTGAAAATTTAAGTCTCGAGTTATTCTTGAAATATCAATTTGTGACCAAACTTAATCAAAATTCCTGTGCTTTGGCGCCCAAACAATCTTTATTTAAATTTTCCTTAATAAAATACTTCAATATGATTGGAAAGAGCAGAAAGTTTTAAATGATCCCTAAGGTAGCTCTTTTAAATTATTATACTCAAATAACGCCAAAAAAGCAAATCTAATCACGTGATTATGCATGTGGTTATCATCAGATTCCCCATTTCCCCTGTTCCCTACGAAGTTCCAAATCTATCCTCGTTGAAGCGCGTGGACCACGGATGCAAAGCGAGGTCAAAAGCGTCAATTCATAGAGTACAGGCGCGCTCCTCAACAAAATGGGATTCAAATTCCCGCTGTGGAATCTAAATTTCAAACTTTCAAAAACCCTCCAATGGCTCATATTTACCCCGCCAAAGTCAACAAACCCTTTCTTAACGGCTCCTTCTTCTACCTAAAGCACGAGTTTTCTCTCTCTTTTATATCGATTCCATTTCAGAATCCTTACAAAGTTTGGCCATACACGCACACACACAGTTGAATTCATTTCGTCAAATAAAACAATTATGTCGTTAGCTTCAGATCCTTCAAAAGACTCTAGATCCACTTATTGTCGTAAACAGAAGTCTCTCGGTCTCCTATGTTCCAAGTATGAATCTGAGGTTTTGTTAATTTTATTTTGAGTTTGAATCTGAACATTTGCTGATTCTTTATTTTTAAAATCTATTTTGTGAATTGGTGCAGTTTTTTGAGCTTATACAATCGGGAAGGTATTGAAACCANATATATATTACAACTCGTAGTAACAATTTGAGTTTTGTTAATTGTAAGGTTCTATTTTCTTAAATCTTATAGTTCTAGTTTTTTGTTAATTCAGGTTCTTGCAAGGAAGGCTAAGAATAGGTATTCATGGAAAGGGTTCGGAGCAATTCCTTGGACATTGCAACAATTGAAGGTAAATGCACTAGTTTAGACTTCGGATTTAAGTTATACACATTGACATTTATTTTTTACACTATCAATATAATTTAACATGATAGAACATGTTACTTACCATTTTTTCTAGAATATCAATCAATGTAAAATTAAATATAGCTACTTTCAATTATTCTTTAAGTGGTATGATTGTGTAAATTCTTTTAGATTGTTAGTGCTTAGACCATAAACTATTCAATGTTTGACTTACCTAATTGTTTTCTTTTTGGTCTCAATTAATATTTGGTTAGGAAGAGGGTCTAAAAGAGAATGTCAGTGGATTTGATGGATCTAGCTCTGCCAAGGTAAGTTCTTGACTGCTCTCATTATTAAGCATTGTTTAGTTTAAGTCCTTTGTCTAGTGAGATGCTATATTTTCCTTATTTTTGCTCCATGTAATATCAGGGTTCAGATGATGATGATGATGATTCAGATTCCAAACCAATTGTTTCGAGTCACACAGAGACACTAAACCCCAGTTCCAACTTTGCAGCAGCGTCCAAATCTGGTGTGTTTGCCTTTTTCCTTCCTTTAAGTGTTGCTTGTAAATGACATTCAATTGTTTTAATTAATACAGCTACTCTTTGGGAGTACTTTCTGAGACATCTTGGGGTATGTTTTAACAGACAATAGAAGAGAAAAATCATTGGGACTACTTACACAGAATTTTGTCAAGCTCTTCCTCTGCACCGATGTAAGCAAAAAACTTTCCACTATCAATAACTTGTTTCTCTATTTGGTTTCTACATATTTAATTCTTTGTGGTGATTCTGTTCAGGTTGATATGATTTGTCTTGATGAGGCAGCAAAAATACTGTTAGGAGATGGGAGACCTCCTGCGATGACAAGAAGTAAAAATCCACACCTTATTTTTTTCTTGCTTAAGAATAATCTGAAATACTAATGTAGATGAATGAACTGTTAGTATCTTTTAACACCACTGTGCTGCCTATCGATGCTCCTTCAAGTAACTTTGTCTTTTCTTATCTATGCAGCCAAGGTTAGGAGGCTATACGATATTGCAAATGTATTGTCTTCTATGAAGTTTATTGAGAAGGTAATTATCCTCAAATGTTATTCATCAGGAAGAAAAAAATAATTAGGCAGAAAATTGAAAATATACCTAAAATTTTGTATAAGAAACTCTAGTTACTAATATTGCTGCTCGCATAACTTGCTGCAGACCCATCACCCAGAGACAAGGAAACCTGCTTTTAGATGGTTGGGGATGAGAGAAAGATCAGATGACAAATCAGTTGATACTCTTGGTGCTACTGAGTCCAAGAAGAGGGTATTTGGGACTGAGCTTACAAATACAACTATCAAGAGGAGCAGAGTAGCACTACCTATGGATGGTATTTCAGATGAAGCAACTAGGAAACAATTGCTAACTGAAGTCAAATGTGAAAACCTGGAAAATGAGATTCACTGTCCTAAACAGGAACCTGGTTTAACAGCAAGCAAAAAGAGTTACCACTTTGGTCCTTTTGCTCCTCCAAGCCTGGCCCAGGCTGAAGCGTCTGATGCTGACAGGATGAAACGGGTTCATGACTGGGAAAGTCTAGCCTCCACTTACCGTCCTCAGTATCACAACCAAGGTATGTTGATTTTCACTTCCTCAAATACATTAATGATTCAATTGATTATCATTAAGAAGATGTTAAACACCAAAAGGCAGGCCCCAATGTGTTCTACTAGGGATATGCTTGTAAATATCAAAGTGGTGTCTACCTTTAATGTGATCTACCAGGGCTACTTGGATTAATATGTTGAATCACTTTTTCCTAGTGCACTGAAACAGCCACTTATGTAATTTAGTGTCTGATCTATTCTTAATTTGCTGACTGGTTACTTGCTCCATGCGTGTGCAATTTGATGTGTACACCAGTTTATCTTCTTTGGCCAAATCTTTTGCAAATCATCCAACATTCACCTTTTCCAATTGCATTTACTGTTTAATTTGACGAGGATGAAGCATTCAATATCTTGGCTCAAACAAATAATGGGTTCCGTTTTTCACATGGCTCAGTACATTCTTAATAATGGGTTCTTATATCGTTGCTTATTTGATGTTCTTGAGCTTAAGCAAAAACTCACTGGCAAATTTGGTTTGTCTGCTATGTTTCAGCACTGAAAGATCTTTTTGCTCATTACGTGGAAGCATGGAAATCATGGTACTTGGAAGTTGCTGGGAAGAACCCAATTCAGCTGATTTCTTGATGTGCTCTTTCTAGATAAGAATAGAATTTCGAAGATAAAACTGCCTTCACATACGAGAGATGGTCTGACGTTGAATGCACATTCTCGTTGCATCAACTTTCAATGAAAAAATAGTTGCATTATTCAGTACTCTGTTGGCTTATTGGCAGATTATTGAGTTCAAATGTAGACCAACACTAATTGAATGTACATTTTTTGGTACTTGTTCAGTTAATATGATTCTTTGAAAGTCTTGAAAGGAGGGTTCAAATGCTTTTTGCTCAGTGTATGTACTGTGATGCTGCCAACATAACTCCTTCTGCCCCCAAGTATCTCAAACCAACCGACTTGTATGCTTGATGAGCTCCAGCAACTTATCTTTTGGGAGGATATACCTGTACTTAGACCTTTGAATCTATAAGCTATTCGTGTGCTTCCCTTTGAAAGTTAAAAAGGAAAAAAGAAGTTAGATCAAGTTGAATGGTTAATGGACTATATAAGTTATTGTTCAGCTTAGTTTGATACATCATCCCATCTTGACTCCTTGAGTTGATTGGATCATAGTATGTGTACAAACAGCCAACATGAATTTTTTTGATAAATTATCCAAAAGATGTTGAACGTTAAAGAATGGTTACATTTGGGAGATGATTGAGGCAGAATGAGGGATGGCAAGGGCAATGGGTGGGTATTTTACTGAAGTGAATGAATTCTTGCATATCCTTGGACGAAAAATCAAGGATTATGGCTTTCACGCTTTACTACGTATGCAACTTCAGAATCTAGTGGGACTCAGGCGCAAGATTATGTGCTAAAACCTAGGAACTTGATCATTTTGAACCTTGCCTACTTGGTTAGAAGTTTCTGTCTTACTTATCGCTTTTATGCAGACGTGAGGCACAATTAACAAAAAGAAAAAAGATAAAAAAGGTATAGAACAATTTCAATTACTTTTCCTGAACTAATGTCTGGTACTCCATTTCCACTCAAAGTTTACATCATCTAAAAATGTCAGGTGGAACAGACGTAGAGAAAGCCATTTTACACAAATCTTAATGACCTGAAAAGGAAAAGGGAACAAAAGACTCGTCCCAAATAGAAGTAGATATATACACACCACCCCAGAAATATTACCTCCCAAGGGCTGAAATCAGAAGGGGAGACAAGAAAAGGAAAGATCTAAATTCTAATTGCTAGCTGCCTGTCATGCCGTGATGCATAAGTTGCCAACTTTCAACGAGGGCAACTCACAACGAAGATGCTGATTCTGCTAATCGTGGGACCAATCTATGAATTCTCCATACTCTTCTTCCATCAACCTCCTCCGCAGAATAGCCGCAATCTGTTAACAACAGCACACTTACATGCATAGGTCAACAGCAATTAATATCAGAAATGATTTCTGAATTGTCAAAGGCAGATCCGTTGAAAAACGACTTTAGTACTACTCGTAAAGTTGGTAGGAGCAATTATAGAGATAATGGTGAAGGATTTTCCCATTTATGCCTGTATAATTCTGTTCTCTTCTTTTAATACAGGAATGCAGAAGATCTATTCTTTCATCTTTCTGGACAAAGGTTCTGAGTAGTTTTTAAATAAATCTACAAGTAACCATTCCAATGCAATATATGAACACCTGGAGGTATGTCAAGTGTTTAACATTCATGATCCCAAAATTTTTAGAACCAAATCACTTTATTTGCAGATTCATGATTAATTGAATTTAAAGAGCGATCAATTTAAGCCCAATACAATCCATTATGTTGAAACAAAAGAAAGATGGGACTGGGAAATACTTGAGGTGCACCTGAGATTCCTCTCCCTTGCCAAAACTCGAAAAACTCTGGAATAAGCCAGTAACCACCCCAATGTTTGGGTCTTGGTATTGAAGTTCTGCATGTTAGGAAAAAAAAGATTACTTTTGGGTTTCACATGAATCAAGACAATCACATTTTTTCCTGAGAAAGAAAAACGAAAGCATGAATAGGTTGTGATCGACAGGTCTTGGTCAGATACTTTTCCAAGAACATATACATGGTCGTTTGGTATGAGGTATAAGTAGATATAGTGCTGGTATAAAATTTTAATACCACCTTAATACTTTGTTTGGTTAGCAAACCTGGTATAAGTTATCCGGGGATTAAAATTAGTACCGAGATAACTTATACCTTGTAGAGGTGGGGCAATTAGTGCCGGGATAACTTATACCTTCTTATTAGAAATTATGCAATTATCATTTTTAATACAACATACCAAACAGTGGATAAAAAATAATACCAGGATAACTAATCTCAGCATAACTAATCCCAGTATAACTTATCCCAGCATAAGCGATGTTCAAACCAAACGTGGTATGACTTTTACATGTTCGAACAAAGAGAAGATTGCAACTGTTGAAGAATTCTAAAGATTGTAAATATTCAAAAAGAGATCCTCTAATTCTTGGCATGGGATAGCAATCACATGACTGAATGCAATTTACCTGTATCCCAATCAATAGAATACTTCCGCTAGGCTATGTTGGTAGGATACGGGTGTGGTAACCCGACATGGATGCGAATCTAAAAGTTGGATTCTTCATCACCTAAATTTTAGAGCAGCATAGCCACTAGGCAAAGATGGAATATTGAAATCCGAGCAGAGCTAGTTAGAGATTAGGACAAACAAAGAAAGATTTCAGCAATGAGTAAAATTACTGACCTGTCATGATACTTCTCCTCTAGTTCTCTGTACTGTTGACGGAGAAACTCTCTTCCATGAATCGGTCTGGTCTGTACTTGCAGAGGAGATGGAAAATTAGCTGTTGATGCGTGTATACAATTTGGAACCTAGAAATTCCATTTCAGTAAATACTAGACAAACCTGCTTACTCTAATCTGGATATCTCGAGAAAGACTAGAGAAGTATTGTTCAGATTCCTCCTCAGAAACTCGCTCCACAAATCCCTCCACTCTTACCTACAAATGACTTCGTTTTCCTTCAGAGAGTGAAGGAAAAATTAGATTGTGCAGCATTATATGAGCTATTGGATTGTTGGGAATAAAGCTATAAGTCCGTATAACAGAAAGCAAATATTCGCTTGAGGTTTCTTTCATTTGTTTTTTATTCTTCCTGCCCATTTGAGGTTTTAAGAGAGTCATCAAAGTAATCATGGCACTTCCTCTTTAACTTCATTCTCTCTCTCTCTCTTCACATTTTAACTTAATCATGGCGAAACTGAACCTTGGACTCTGAGCACGAAATACCAAAATCCTGCAACCTCATCTAGTCTAAATGCGCCTCTTCAACAACTCATCTAGACAGAATTTCTGAACCAGCAATTTGACATTTCCATATATAAGTTAATTATGACTATTCTAAAAGAAGTCTATGTCAATTATGACTAATGGTCACACCAATATAACACAATGTCAGTAGACATAAAGTGCTTTCAAAAATTTGTTATTATTGATAGAACATGTAACCCACCTTCTTGCAAATATATTGTTTTCCCACTGGTGGCAGAGTCGAAAGTAGATGGAGAGTTCAGATGGACTCTGCGCAGTATAAAAAACTAGATACAAGTGGAACTGGCCCCCGTAAAACAATATTGTACTAGTATGCTAACATAGCCACTTACCTCTCCAATTGTAGAGGCAACACTCGAGCCCGCCAATTCCTAAACTCAAAACAAGTAAACCCAATTTCAGGGGATAAGTAGAAATTATAAGACCAAAGTTAAGAAGACAAACCATGAGCTGATCCACACTAAAACCAAGTCGTGGAGTGTCAAAAGCTGTTCGGTTCCTTCTCGACATCTGGAGTGTCAAATATATACACCGGGGCTACCTTTTTTTTATTTATCATGAAATACCAGCCATAAGATTATTCGCCTTGTGTTTTTTTTTCATATTTCTGCATTTTGAACCTTAATATCTTCTATTTAATTCATAAAACACTAAATCTTATTTTGGAAGATGGTCTAGAGATTGTAGACCATACTTGAGGGGTAAATGATTTTTACCCCTTTAAATATTGACTTTCATCTGGAAATAAAATTTTTGCCAAAAATCATTTAGTAATCAATTAAATTGAAGAAGTAACTCAAGAAAGAACAGATGCTTTTGAAATTTCTACATTAGTCTTTCTTAATTATATAAATAACTGACTTACCTGACGAAAAAACGAATGACTTAACATCATTGACCGCTTGCACGACGATTTATTAGTGGGCATTTGGACATAAGAATTGTAAAATTCCAAAAAAAAAGTAGAAATGATATTTGAAAATTAGAGTTATGTTTGGATATAAATACAATTTTGGGTTGTTTTTGAATTTTTCAAGTGAAAATTAAAAATTTTAGACCAAACATTGATTTTGAAAAAAAAGTTGAAAGTTTTTATGCCCAAACAGGCTCTTATACTCGAGATGCTAGAATTTTTGTTTATTGTTCTCAAAGTCACTACTCAAAAGCCAAGTGGAACAAAGGTTGCATTAAGGGTGGCAAGTGGGCCGGGCCCGGTTCTAAATGGGCCGGTCCTATGCGGTTCAGTCCTAAACGGTTTCGGGCTTCGCGGGCTTGCTGGAACCGGTTCGGGACCGGGACCACGAACTAAAGGTCTCGGGTTAAGTGGGTCGGTCCCGAACCTAAGTGGGCCCAACAGAAACCGTTGCATTCGTTGACGTACTCGATTTTTTGTTTCACAAGCACGACAGTGGTTATTATATATAGGGTCAAATATACCCCATATATAGGGTCTACTTTCAAAAATGGTCTAAGAATACCCCTCGTTATACAATTGAGTTATTTATACCCCTGCAGTCATACTTTGGGTTCAAATATGCCCCTCATTTAAACGGAGGGACACGTGTCATCATCCTGTTGGTCAGTTCTAAATATCTCCTAATTAATTAAAAAGACTCATTACCCATACCCGATT